AGATTCTCGACAGAATTATTGGTTAAGGACATTTTTGTTCTTGAAGGCTTTATCAGCATAACAAACATGGAAATGTCAGAAACCAAAGTATACATAAGATCAAGGTACAATGATCGAATATTTAGAAAATGGTGGATGTTCCTAACGGTGTTCAACATTCTAAGTTGGACAGCTTAGTTTAATTGTTTGAGTTGTCATTCTGAAGAACATAATTTGTAGAGAATGCAAGTAGACACAACATAATCACTATTTTCCACTGTATGAGGAATGAACCAAAATTCATTCATACTTCATTCAACTAGTAATAATAAAAGATTGTTTTTTGACTTCATATACTCTATATAAAAACATAATAATATTATTGGTTTCTTGATAAATCAATGCGTGACAAATAAATATTGAGAGAGGGGTTTTTTGAATATTATGGAAATTTAGTAGATGAATTCATGAGCCGATTGAAGGTAGAAGACCCTAGAAGCATGGGAAGGTCGTCTCATCCTAGTATGGGACTTCTCAACAGTGCGCATCCACGATCCTGCCTCGCGAGATTAGAATCCAGGACTTATCAGTCTCGCACACGAACGCTTAACCTCTAAACCACTGAGCCGACCGGGATCGAACGATGTTAATGTCTAACGACTATCCAGTGCTTTCAAGTTTTCCATGGTGGTCTAGATTCAATCGACTCATGAATTCATCTACTAAATAAATATCTGATTACATTGTTACTCAGTGTAAACTGATGAAAATTTATATGTACTGACTTGAAAGACCAACTTTATGTACTTACTAGATAAAAAGTGTACTTAAGTGAATTTATTTACCGAAAAAGTATTTAATTGTGTCTTTGGCATCTATAACAAAATAACACTAAATATATTCATATTTGTAACATACAGTAATCTAAGTATGATTTCAGATTGCTTGTATTTGTTTAATGCAGACGTTATATGTTTGGATTTAAGTTATTTTTTACTTATTTATTTAAACACATAAACAATGGTACAAGAAGGTGATTATATCTCAGTCCTACGGGAGGCCGGTCACGGCCCAACAACAACAAAAAAATCAATGATATAAACTACAAAAATAGTTACCAGTGGTAAACTTAATATGAATATTTATGATTATGGTTAATGGATGTAGAATAATTAAAATAACAAACAACCTATGAAAATAACCTTTGTTTTGCAATAATAATTAATAGATCAATATCATGCATTCTATTCTTCAATAAGACATAAAGCATAATTGTTTAATTACTACAAATAGTTATCATACTGACGTCATCAGAAAAAAAAGCTTATTTTTGTTCATGGCTTTGGATAAATTAGTATAAAATCAACTTCTTTATATTCATTTATTTGTGACTGATCAGTTTAATAACCTGATAGTATAGAACATTTTAATATCAGTAGTTGAGATCATGGGTCGATTGAAGCTAGACCACTATGGACTGGATAGGTTCTGGGTTCAAATCCCGCGAGACGGGGTCATGGATGCGCACTGCTAAAGAATCCCACAATAAGGCGAAACGGCCGTCTAGTGCTTCCAGGTTTTCCATAGTGAATGGTCTTGTGGTGCGTGCTACTTATATTGATATAAGTAGTATATGATGCGAGTCAGGAATGTAATGTCTGGCGGCAGAAGATGGGAAAGATCAAGAAAGAAAGAGCGGGAATAGAAAGCAATTAGTATTGAAATGCAAGAACAACGAAGTTTGAGACAATTATTGAACATTTCGCAAATTCAGTATTATAGTATGATTTTTCTATTTTATCAAGTAACTCTGTAATTTTCTGCTAAATATAGTTCGGTTGTCCTCACCTATGTTCTCCTTCACTACAGTCTAGCTTCAACTGATTCATGATCTCAACTATTGAAATTATTACAATCTCTACAAAACCCCTTCCAATACTAATTTTTAATAGTTGAATTCATGAGTTGATTAAAATTAGATCGCCGTGGAAAACCTGAAAGCACTGGACGGCTGTTTCATCCTAATATGAGACTCCTCAGCAGTGCTCAACCACGATCCTGCATACGGGGCTCGAACCCATGCCTTTGATCTTGCGCGTGAACACTAAACCTCCAGAACACTGAACCGACACCCAATGATGTTAATGTCTATTAAAATTACTATAATCCCCATACCCCCCCACATTTTGATCAAAATTATGATCTCATCACATAAATCATTGGATCAGAAGCTAAAATTATAGATCATTAAAAGCCGAATCATGAAAAAATAACAGTTTGGTGTTGTACTAATTATGAGACATATAAGGTACGTTATTATTACTTCTTTTTGGTATGTTGATTTGTAAATTCTAACTGTCGATATAACAAAAAACTAATGTACTAAACAAACCAAAAAAATTAATATAACTGAAAAGAACTAAAAATATTGATTTGTCACTTTAATCGTAAAAGCAAACGATCGTCAAACAAAATAGGATGAAATTGTTAGTGTTGACATGACTCATATGAAATGTGAAGATCAGGGGGTGGAGTGGTTGAAGGTAATTCTTCTCTACGCATAGCGCTGGGTTCTTCATCTAGATGACTACTAGTACTTCAACCGTTTGAAGGACTTTAAGTCACATAAGCTTTGGCAAAACACTACTTACTCAATAAATAATTGAAAAGGATTGGTTTATGCTGATACTCTGATTAGTTTTCACAAATTGGGCCGATATCGAGTTGTTCGCATTGGAAGTGGATTGGACATAAATTACAGAAATAATCAAACTACATCACAAAGTGAGCACTAGCTCAGAATCCTGAAAAGAAGCGGAAAACAGGAAGATTAAAGAACAAATTATGTCAGGACTCGGAAGCAAACACCAATGGAATGAATAGAGACACCGAAATGATCATGACAATGCTCACCTACCACCTACTAACATTAAATGAAGGTTACAAACATCGGTGAAAAATAAGGATTACGATTTACAGTTAATAATTAGGGTCAGGAGTTAGATGTGGGATTTTCATCACGAAATGTTGTCAGCTAAAATGTCAAAATACCATTTACACAAATGGGTGAATCAATTTCGAGCCAAAATTCAAAAACTATTATCCTAAATGTGATTGGTTTGTTCATGAATTCTAATCTCGTCAGGGATGTTATTGACGATGGGAATAGGACAAAACTCAATATTATGCGAATTGTCAATATACATATGATTTGTTTACTCACGAGTATGAATGGTGATAAAATCGAAAAATAAATAACACAATTATAGAAGGTGGTGAGATTAATAAGCAGTGTCTAGTGAAATATAATTTAATAGTTCACTTCAAGAGTCAATTGAAGCTAGACCACCATGGAGAAACTGGAAGTACTTAGTTAGAATCTGTGACCAGTGGAGTTCAACCAGGTGTGTTGTGAGTTAGAAACTGATTGATGACAATAGTGGATGTGTCGCTCAATTTCGTAGATTAGTTGAAGTTACACATTAACACCATTGGATGCTGACTGGCCGTGCTCTAGAGGTTAAGTGTTCGCGCGTGAGACTGATAGGTCCTGGGTTCGTATCTCGAGAGGCAAGATCGTGAGTGCGCACTGCTGGTGATTCTCACAACAAAACGAAAAGGCTCTCTATTACTTTCAGGTTTTCCATGGTGATCTGACTTCAATTGGTTCATGAATTCAACTATTAAATTTATATAATATCTGCAAAAACCCTTCTCTGAAAATATTATTTGTTTCGATCAGATTAAGTGATTGTTTTAAAGTAGGTCCATCTGGTACTATTTAACTGTGATCCAGTTTAAATGCGTGGAATAAGCTTTATGAAATTCAGAAGAAAGGGATTCAACTTAAAGCTAACCTACTCAAATAATACTGATTTTAATATTCCTATGAGAAATACTAAAGGTAATAGATTTTCTTCGTTATCCGTATAGTGGATAAGACGTACACTGTAGAAATCATTTAACTTTATCACAAGGTAAACCTCAACTTACATTGCTAAAGAGAAACAAAAAAACTTGAAAACTAACGAACGAATTATTGTAAAGAACGGGAAGCAAATACCAAAAGATTATTCAATATAGAATTGAATGAAGAATACTAATGAATAATAGGCCTTCATAAAGTTTAACAATCATAAATAAGTGAATATAGTTATTCATATACATTTTTTAAAACTAACATCATAAATTCACTTGGTATTGTTTGGCTTGTATCTTCCCATTGAGGTTTAACACTGCAATTGATCAGTCTCATGTTGGCATATATGCATCCTGTGAAGATTGCCTCGAGATAGCCTTAAGTCACAAGCTTTTTAAGCAATAATGGATAGTGATTAGAACTGTAATCCAGTTTGACGCGAGTTTCGTCCTGTTTTTGGGACTCGTCAGCTGGATGTACCTAGCATCCCAAGATTGATGTTCACTCTGGGACTAGAATGAATTACCGTTCCCGTCAAACGCCATTGCGTTATCCACCTAGCTACTGAGTCCTTATAGCCACGTGTTTGTGCAATAGAGTGAAGTTTAAGTTCACTTGGTGTTGTATTACTTGCGTCTTCCCATTGTTGTTTTATTTAGGACTGAAATTGATCAGTCTCATGTTGTCATATGTGCATCATGTTCGGATAGCCTCGTTTATAGCCTTAATTCACAAGCTTTTTTAACATTATAAATAAATTAACCAATAAAATTTTAATTTTACCTATTTATTTGTTGATTGGTTCAATTGAATAATTTAAGGAAAAAAAAGAAAAGAAAGAAAAGAAAACACTATGTGGGTGGTAAAATAAAAAAAATGATCTTTCTATTCTTTTTTATTATTATTTATTTATTTATTTACGATGAACTAATTAAGAAATTACAGCAAAGATTTTTTTGATCATTGTTGATTATTGGAATTAAAATTAAACTCAATTAATGAAAAAAATAAAAAAATAAATGTTTTTCTTTCCATATTTATTGATTAATAAAAAATCAATTTAGTTGCTATACCTGAATTCAAATTGTCATTTTGATCAAATATGTTTCAACATAATGAATCAATAATTGATCGAAAAACTTGTTCATTAAATATGGAAACAATAAATAATCAATTATTTAATAACAATAATCGTAATTATACAAGTTCTTCAATGAGAATAGATAAATCAGATAAATTACCATCTATTAATGATTGTAAATTATCAATACCTAAATTATATAAAGCTAAAATTACACCAGATTGGATTGTTACTATATGCTCAGAAATATGGACAAGATTATTATCATCATCATCATCCTCATCATCATCCTCATCATCATTTATATTAGATTCTAATGAAAATAATATAGATCATCAAATATCTGGTTCAAAATTAGTTAATTATTTAATGATCACTGAAAATAAAACTGATCGTAATTTAATATGTGGTTTATGGCAATTATTATTAGATGAAAATGCAATTGAACCAATTCTATCATTAAATAATAATAATGATAAATCAGTGAATTCAATTGAATTTTATGATCGTGATGATGTTTTTTATATATGTAAATGTATTAAAAATAAACGTTTATCTATTGATGAAGCATTAATAATTAATGAAATTTCATTAAATAATAATCAATCAAATCTAGAACAAAATCATGATCTATTAAAATTGATTAATAATACATCCAATGATCCAATGACACAAATCGATTTACATAATAATAATATATCCAATGAAAAATCTAATCAATATATCAATATAATTAATGATCATAATCATGAAATAGATGGTTATCATATATTAATTGATAAATTATATCGTCTTTCACCTGAAGCATTATTTCGTAAAATATTACAAAAATTACCATCGAATAGAACTGAAAATGAATTACAATATGTATATCAAGAATTATTATTAGTACCAGCATTATCATCATTTTCTATATCGGTTAAACAAGAATTATGTAAATGTTTATATTATGAAGTACATGAAAATGCATTAGATATTGTATTTTATCAAGGTGATCCAGGTATATCATGGTATATTATATATCATGGTAGTGTATGGGTTCATATTAATAATCAAGGTTATATATGCCTTCTTAATGAAGGTGATGATTTTGGTAAATTATCATTAATTACAGATAAACCAAGAGCGGCTAGTATATTATTAGCTGAAAATAATTGTCATTTTCTTAAATTAAATAAAAATGATTTTAATAGAATTCTATGCAATGTTGAAGCTAATACAGTACATTTAAAAAATAATAATTCTGATGTTTTAATATTAGAACGGATACCAGATAATAAATTATTAATTCAATTACAAAATAATCAATTACATAATCATAGTCATCATCAAATTAATGATAATGATAATCAATTAATCAATAAATTGACCGATCATAATTATTCAATTATAGCTGGTACTATTGAATATATACTTTATCATTTATTAGAAAATTGTTTAAATGAATTAAATAATCAATTACAATCAATTATTAATAATCAATTATATCCATCATATTTATATCCACATACACCATATAATATTGATCAAACATGGCAAATATTCTTTCTTACATATAAATTATTTACAACAAATAATGAAATTCTATTATTTTTATATAAATATTTAGGTTGTAATAAACCATTGGAATCCATACATGAAACTAACGACAATAATAGTAATGATAGTAGTAATAATAAGGACATTCATGATTATGATCAACAATGGGAATTTCCCAATGATTTACAATTTGATATCACTAAAGTATGTCGTGTTACTATATTATTTTATATATGGCGTTATTGTCTTGGTTTATTTATATTTGCTAATCAAATAGAAGTGAATCAATTTATAATGAATTTAAAAATAGCACTAAATAATATGAATATGATAGAAACAAGAAATCATCCTAATAAAATCGATTTATTACATGATCCATTAGATAATCAACAACAACAACAACAATCATCATCACCACCACCACAACAACAACAAGCAGGTCATCCATTATATTTAATTTGTTTAAATAAACTTATTAAAAAGAATGAAAAATTAATGAATATCAAACCAATGATTGTAAAACAACATAATATATCATCGAATTTTTTACATTTCCCGCATAATTTTTTACGTACTTTACCATTTGTTTGCAATACTACTACTACTACTACTACTAATAATAATAATAATAATAGTAAACGCGGAATGATTAAAATGAATAAAACTCAGTTAGCAACCAGTAGTGAACATGGTGATTCATCAGTAACTGCTACTACTACTACTACCAGTACTACTAGTACTACTGCTAATTATGTAAAATCATTAGATAATCAAGATACCACTATTGTACATAATGAACAATATAATCCAGAAATGAAATCAATACCTAATCTATTATTTGATTTACATATTAGCCCAAATACATTACCATTAATTCAATCAATACATACCGTAACAATTAAAATTTATATAACTGAATTAACTAAACAAATTTATATCACTGTACCAATTGAAGCAAATGTTTATGAAATTAAACAATTATTAATTACTAATCAAATGATTCAATCAAATATTAATGAATTAAAATTAGTTGAAGTATTCTCTAAAGGTGATTGGATTATTTATCAAGATTATGAATGTGGTATTATGTTTAGTTTATCATCAAATAGTCGATTATTTTTAACTAAAGAAAGTCAAATACAAAATTTAATACCATTAGCTGAACAATTAATAGTAACAATGAATTTTTTAGAATTAAATGATATAGATCGTATTAAAAATTTTAATCAACATGATCATTTATTATTAAGAAAGAATAGATTAATGCAAACTTCAATAAGATTATTAGATGAATTAACTATTGATGAATTAGCTACAATATTATCTTATTGTCATGTACAATTAGCTATTTGTATACATCCACAAGAATTATTAGATTATGTTATTGATAATAATAATAATAATCATAATAAAGCAAATAAACCATGTTCACATATTCGTACCCTTGTGAAACGTTTTAGTTTATTACATGCATGGACAATAACACAAATTGTTACAACATGTAATTTAACTAAACGTGTTAATATCATTAAAAAATTAATTAAATTAGCTAATTGTCTTCTATCATCACCATTATATGATTTATATAGTTCATTTGCAATTATATTAGGATTACAAAATTCATCAATTACACGATTGACACATACATGGGAACGTGTACCTAATCGTTGGCGTCGTTTATTCAATGATACATTATTACCACTTACTGATCCTTCGAAAAATCATAGAACAGCACGTTTATGGAATAATTATAATGAAAATAATAACTATATTATGCATAATATAATCAATTTACCAAGATTACCATTTTTACCATTAATATTAAAAGATTTAAGATTTGCTGAAGATGCTAATCAAACTGATTATCATAAAACAGATAATAATAATAATAATAATAATAATAATAATAATAATAATCGATTAATTAATTTTAATAAAATGAGACTTATTTCCACAAGTTTACGTTCATGGATTAATTGTATATCTGGTTATGAATTATTACACCCATATAATCAATTTATTGATTTAAATAATAATAATAATAATAAAATCAATAATTCATTAATCAATAATATCACAGTACAAAAATTACTTGAAGTAACTAATGAATCAAAAATATTTGTATTAGAACATTTACATTGTATTGATGATCCAAAAATTATAACACAATTATCATTAAGATTAGAACCTAAAAAATAATCAATCAATCAATCAAAAATGAAATAATCAATCAATCAATCAATCAAAAATGGAATAATCAATTAATATTTTCCTCTGATTTGTAAATAGATATATATATATATATATATATATATATATATATATATATTACTAATTATCCATAAAAGTATTATTCACCAAACGATAGAATCTCATGAATATATGTACGTATATGCTTATTCATTGAAATTCATTATATATATATATATATATAAACATATGTATCAAGCTTTATTTTTGTATAAATATTTAAATGAGATGTTTATTTTGTTTGTTTGTTTGTTTTATGTCTCAACTTAAGAACCAAGGTATACCACACTTTTTTATTAAGAAATTATTATTTGTTAAAGTATGTATGTTAACATTCGTTGAAGAGCACAGGCCGTCCATCATCGTTTTCGATCCAACCCTGTTCTGGATAAACATTTTTAGTTGTTTACATTTGTTATTCATCCTTTGGATATCTGGTGACAATTTCTGATACAATGTGTTCTTTGATCTTACTGTTTTCTTTTTGACTTGAGAATTCCAATGCAGTTCGATGATCTCCTCTTCCACTTCCAGTATTTCGTCTTAATTTTATCTTCAGATGGAAGTTGGTTTTTTCTCTCCTATCGTAGGCAGTTGTTGTTGTTGTTGATTGAAATTAAGTAACAATCTAGTTATACTTTCTTCTTGATTATACTCACCACCTATTGTGATTAAATGAAGGTTACAAACCTATGTGAAGAATGGAGATTACGATTTACAGTTCATCACGAACTGATGTCAGCTAAAATGTCAAAACGCTACTTGCACAAATGGGTGAATCAATTTCCAGCAAAAATTCAACACCTGTTATCCTAAATGTGATTGGTTTGTTCATAGATGTTATTGACGATGGGAATCTGATAGAAACTCAAAATCATACAAATCGTCAATATACATATGGTTTGTTTACTCACAAGTATAAATAGTGGTAAAATAAATAACATAATTATAGAACGTTATAAGATTAATAAGGAGTATCGAGCAAAATATAATGTGTTTCGATCAGATTAAGTGAAGCATAGGCCGTCCACCATCATTCTCTATCTAGCTCTGTTCTAGACAATCTTTTCTAATTGTTTACATTTGCTATTCATCCTTTTGAAGTCTAGTTCCAATTGCTGATACAATGTGTTCTTTATTCTTACTGTTTTCTTTTTACATTCAGGATTCTAAGTTAGCGATTGTTTCGTGATGTAGTTTGATGATTTCCTCAATTTTTGGATTATACAATAAATTATTTAGTTGATTCAGTAACAACTGCTTAGAATGTAAACTAAGTTGTATTGATACCGTTATTAGGATTACGACAATTGTTTACACAATTATAATTTGAGATAAACTTTATGTATTCACATAGAGTAGTGATGAATTTTGTTGCTCATGACTATCCATTTTAACTGAGAAAAAAAAACTATTTACTCTTCGCTCGGTAGTTCTGAAAAAGTACCTTTATTGAAGCCTTGATTTCAATATACCGATCAGTGTTGTAACCATAATCATTATCAAGCATTATTAATATGAGTAAAGAATGATATCCAAATTGCAAAAGTAAATATTTTAACGTTGAAATAAGCTTACTTACTAACGTCTGTTAACTCTCGTCCAGAAGCACATGCCGTCCACATTCATTCTCTATCCAACTGTGTTCTAGACAATCTTTTCTAGTTGTTTTCATTTGTTATTCATCCTTTGGATATCTGGTGACAATTTCCGATACAATGTATTCTTTGATATTTGTGTTTTCTTTTTGACTTGAGAATTCCAATGCAGTTCGATGATTTCCTCTTCCACTTCCAGTATTTCGTCTTAATTTTATTTTCAGATGGAAGTTGGTTTTTTCTCTCCTATCGTAGGCAGTTGTTGTTGTTGTTGTTGATTGAAATAAGCTGACAACCTAGTTATCAAGTGTTATTAACAATTAATTAATATATATATGTGATATTTCAGTGAGTAGAAAATTGTATTTTTGACATTTCGTGACTTAATATAAGCCATTTCTTCAGAATGAATAATTATTCGGATTAAATTATTCTTCTTTGTATCCTTTGTATTAATTAAACTTCTATTAATTTAATTCAGGTTTTTTTTCATTATTTACTCTGAAGATGTGACTTACATTAAGTCACGAAATATCAGTAATATAATTTTCTATTCATTGGGATATATAACAAAAATAGATTTTCAGTATAGGGGTTGTGGGGATTATTACGTTTTTGGTTGAGATCATAAACCCATTGATGTTAAACCGCCACTGAAAGCGCTCATCCACGATCCCGCTTGCGTGATTTGAAACTTAATAATCTCCGCAACCCTATACTGATAATTACTATGTGCTCACTAGTGACTAGCTTTGTGAGGGAATTCTCGGAGTTCTGGTGAGAAGCCGTGATCAGTGGAATTAATCCGTGTCGGGAAGAGACAGGTAACTACCTCAGTAGAGTGGAGGATGATCGCGCAGTTTCGTGGATTGGTTGGGGTTAGACATTAACATCTTAGATGAACTTATTAACTTAGTATAGAAATATAAACCATTAAGTTTGAAAATAAATAATCTTGATGTACCACATTCAACCTAAAGCTCCTGTATTATCGTATATAGATGCTGTAAAGTAAATAACATGTTCATTGTTTATCTACTACAGGTATATATATATATATATATATATATATATATATATATATATATATATATATATATATATATATATATATATATATATATATATCCTAATACAAACGAACTACTCTACTGATCTGGTTGTAGAGTACTTTCATTTTATAATTTACTGAATAAGTCATTGCATTATAAACATTCGATATATGGTCTCTCTTGAAAAACAAATGAGTACTTCCAATTTAAACAATGGGTACCTATAGACTTTTTAAATGAAGAAAATAAATCACTGATCTAATCCAGAGTTATCAATGGTATTCTTAAAACAACAGTAAAGGATTAAAGGTAATTGTAATTGTTTATGGTTGAATTTCATTTGTATAAAAAAATGACTATTGGAATTACAACAAGAAAGGATGTGGTGATATCATAATTTATGGACGACCTTTGAGCGACGCTAAAATGATCACGACAATGCTCACCTACCACCTACTAACATTAAATAAAGGTTACAAACATCTGTGAAAAATAAGGATTATGATTTACAGTTAATAATTAGGGTCAGGAGTTAGATGTGTGATTTTCATCACGAAATGATATCAGCTAAAATGTCAAAATACCATTTACACAAATGGGTGAATCAATTTCGAGCCAAAATTCAAAAACTATTATCCTAAATGTGATTGGTTTGTTCATGAATTCTAATCTCGTCAGGGATGTTATTGACGATGGGAATAGGACAAAACTCAATGTTATGCGAATTGTCAATATACATATGATTTGTTTACTCACAAGTATGAATGGTGATAAAATCGAAAAATAAATAACACAATTATAGAAGGTGGTGAGATTAATAAGCAGTGTCTAGTGAAATATAATTTAATAGTTCAATTCAAGAGTTAATTGAAGCTAGACCAATATTGGAAAACCTGGCATTACATAGTGAGAATCTGTGACCAGTGGAGTTCAACCAGGTGTGTTGTGAGTTAGAAACTCATTGATGACAATGGTGGATGTGTCGCAGATTAGTTGAAGTTACACATTAACACAGTACTTTCAAGTTTTCCATGGTGATCTGGCTTCCATTGACTTAAGAATTGTAACTATTAAATTTCTATAAAATCTGTAAAAACCCTTCTCTGAAAATATTATTTGTTTCTATCAAATTAAGTGAATGTTTTATAATAGGTCTATATGGTACTATTTCAATATGATCCAGTTTAAATGCTTGGGATAAGCTATATGAAATTCAGAAAAAAAGGATCTAACTTAAAGCAAACCTCTCCCCAAATGCCCTACTACGGCCGAGAGTGTGCAGAGTCAGCTCTACTCGAAATATTCTCACATGTCCAAGCGTAAACAGCCACTACCACAGTAGTCCTACTCACTACCTTCTCGCACACTCAAGGTGTTTTTACGAAATTGAGAGGACGAAAACGAACGTCCGGTGCTTTAGCCGGGTTGGTGGATATAGAGGATCCACCAAGGGGAGTTGGATAACTCTGATTCCAAAGCAATGGTGCACATGGAATTCAGGATCCTGAGGAAAAAAGGTGTATGAACCAGTTATTGGTTATTGGCTACCAAGGAACTACATCTTTTTGACGTTGCTCCACTGCCTTGTGGATCAGACCATTTATGTCAAAGGCTCTAGGTGTGGATTTCTAAGAAAACTAGCTGATTCGCTGTGGACACCCAAACAGTATCACAACCCACAAATAAATCAAGCGACTTCTGTGGCGCATATGTATTTGGTTCCTCTTTGTACCAATATTCATATGTTCAAATAAATAAATAAAGTAATACTGATTTTGATATTCGTATGAGAAGTACTAAGGATGATTGTTTTTATTCATTGTCTCTATAGTCTATATTTACCATACTTTCTAGTTTGAACTTTTTAATTATCATAATTTACCAAATTAGTCTTTATTTAAATTCTTCAAAATGTAATTGCGTTACTATTTTGCGTAGTTCTAGAAAATTTTGTATTCTTACTACACCAACTGTCTAGCAGAGTGTTACCAACTAACCTAAGAATAGCATCATTTTTAAGTGATAATTATGTTCTTTATTAATAATTATTAACAAAGACCACTACATAAATAAAGTAACACCCATTATAAATGAATCTACGAGATTTTTCTGATGCAGAGGCGAGAATCGGCAAAACAAGCACAGCATTCTTATAATTAAAGAACATATGGAACTCAAAGCAACTGTCAACCAATATCAAAGTTACAATCTTCAGTATGAACGTCAATACATTCTTACTGTACGGAGACGAAACTTGTAGAACTACCATAACCATCACCAAAGAAGTACAAGTATTTATAAGCAGTCGTCTACGCAAGATACTGAATGTCCGTTGACCGGATATCATCAGCAAAAGACTACTGTAGGAGAGAACAAAACAGCTTCCAGCTGAAGAGGAGATTAGG